GTTAGGTTAGGTTAGGTTAAGTTAGGTTAGGTTAGGTTATGGCTAGGCTATCCGAATATTTGAGTTTCAGAGCCCGTAATTTTCACAGGCTAAGTGAAGATACTATATAAAATGTTCGATACTGAGATCTTCACTCTGAATAAATCAAAATTTCGAATTACAGTTTAAGCCAAAATTGAGAATCGAGGTCATGATAACTTTCTGCTTGGTTCAGCCTGTCGCACACTTCATGAATATGGAGCATTAATAATGTTATGATTGGCAGGCGAAAGCCAGAGCACGCGAAGAGAAATTAGTACCACTTTGGATACTACATTCCCACTGCAAAATCAACGCTGCGAAATGTAATTTCTTAGACAATATTATGCTACATTCCAGAGTTTTTATGTGCTTAGAGCCGCAGGGTATTAATTAAATGCGTTGTAAGCATACAAATATACACTTATGCAAAGAGCATTCGAATAAAATATATTCGACTGATTCATAGGTGATATAAACGAACAATTTTAACTGCATTGATTTTATGGAATGTAATTGAATCGCAAGATAACGATGATTGGTTATTGAGGTTGATTTGGCCTGTTTGAAGATTATTATTTCGGTATTCGTCTCGAGACAGCAAAATCATGAAAATGCTTGATCCTAGTAGTATATTAGAACATGTGCCCTTCTATTAAAGAGTCTAGAGCGTTGCTGCTACGACATAGCTTGTTAGGAAAGTAATACGAGGTTCGTGATTGCTTTTATCTTCCGTGTATACTAGGCAAGGTCCATTGAATTATTGCTGTCTTTTTTCTATTTAATACATAATGTGCACCTGCCTTATGCAATGTTTTTTCGCACTAATTACCACACGGACAGGAATCTAACACTAGTCTAGTGTTTGTTACTTTGAAGTTTTTGGAAGATTGCTTGTCATTTATACACCTCAATATCAACATTTAAATAATTTTAAATGCAATGAGCAACGGAACTGTAGGTTCTGTGTACATCTGGTTATAATATTAGGTACAGAGAAAACGTTACTGCGAAAAGTTAGTTTAGCTTCAAGATGACTGAATGATCTGAAACTTTCATGGTGACTGATGCCTGAAGTTTAAATGGATAATAATATAGTAGTATTTTTTAATTAGAACGGGTCATAAGGCCTAATCCATAAGAGTTAAAAAAGGAAAAATATGCCTCTGTAATAGGTGGACTGCTACTTAAAACCAGCAATTACAGCATAAACAAAGAACTTTAAAAAGTTTCTATACAGAAGAAGATAATTTACTTACTTTTACAGTATATTACATTTTCTTTTATCGCAACATTATTTTACGTTTAATTTTGTCAACAAAAAAGAAACTCTGAAACGTCCGTGATACCAAGAAGAATGACAATGTTGACAATCTCTATATGATGTAGACTTCCAACTGCGTATTTACTTTAAAGAAAATTTTGAGCACAGTCTGTAAGGCATATTAAATATATAAATATATATTTTATTATGCTAAAATTGTACATAAAATATTGAATTATCATGCATAAAATCACTGCGATTTGAGATCGTAGGCCTATCTTGTGAGCGATCTGAAAATCTAAATCAGAATCAAACAGATTTTATTTTACTTAAATCTGTTACAAAATTAGACATTTATATAACGAAAAAAAAGAAGAAGAAAAAGACACGCGTTGTGGTTCTGATAATTTATAGCTAGTTTTCAAACTACGCCCTTCATGTTTAAGGCCTCTTTTGCAGTTGTTATGGATTGGGCCCTATAGTACCTTTCGAATTGGAATTTATTAGAAGAGAACTTTTGCTTTTGTATCTCCTCATGCATAGTGTTCAGCACCTATAAATTCTCTCCCTATTGTCAATATGTTGTTTTTCAAATAAAACTGCGGGTCAAAGATGAAGCCCCTGACCTAAGACCGGGGTATCACATGTGCTGCTTGGTGAGGGCTATCAAAGGCCTCATGCATGGTAAACTGATGGGAACAATTTACGAATGAGGAACCCGAATGTCTCAAAGCGACTGCATACTTTGAAGACGTCAGAATCCGAATAATTTCTCGTGATAAGATTAATTTTACTATTTGTCACTTGAAAGACAGATCATTCTATTTCACTAAAAAGCAGATGGATTATGAACATATTCAGGATGATGTACTGAGTGGTTTTAATTTTCTAGCTGTGCGAAAAACATTATGGTCTGAATGTATGTGTACGAAATAAATCATATTTATATATTTTGTGGTTTTGAAGCAAAGAAACTTAATTTCCGTCTTCCATCCAGCAAAAATCGGCGAAAATATTTAAATAAAGTTATAATAATTGCAACTTCCGAGAGTTAATGCGCCCATGGTTACGCAAGCCGAGATCACAAACCGCAGCTAGGAATTAGCAGCAGGCTGGCAGCCTTGCTTCACGTCACTAAGAGAAAGTCAGTCTCAAATTTAGTCGACTCAGCCGACCTTATTACTTAGCTGTTGACTGTAGTTCCATGCAAGTCTTCCGGCTTTCGTGTTACAAACGTTCTACGTATTTCCGAAATATTTGTAGAAATGCAGTTTCCAGTATTTTATTATTAGCTTAATGTCCGTTCAGATGTTGTTAAAATGTCAATAAAGTCATGTTGAATGTAGAATTATTGCAGTCACTATTTAGATATGTAAAGTATATGGTATGTTTTAAGTGTTTCGGACAAAAACAAGGTGTTGAAAGTAGGTGATTTCAGATTTCGTGTATGGAAAGATTTTCAAGTTTTTATTACAACCAAAATAACTGGTAGTTAAGTGTGAAAGATGTTTCACCTAGTAAGTTAATCTATCTTACTAAAAACTCTGAAACTACATGTTTTCTTGTCGCAGTGTGCATTGCATGTGAACTTTAAAATGCAAACTGAGTTTGTAGTCAAATTTTAAACTTGTCAACAGAAATGAGAAATTCGTTGGAGTTAAGTGGGTCACACGTGTCATCACGACTTGGCGCATCTGTAGGTTTCACATGGAGGATAAGATCTCAAGATGTGGAGGATAACTATGAATACATTAAATACGCAGTAGCGGACAGCCGACAATAAGTGGTACTCCAACTTATGAATGGCGGGTGGACTATCATCCCCTCACCATAAAAAAACATTAGGCCCAAAGTTACAGCCCGTATTTTAAGAAATGTTGCAGCCGACTTCGGAGGATTCTTTGTTTTTGGACAAGGATTACTGGAAGGCTCTTCTATAAAAGGCGGGGAATTTCGTGACACGCAGAACGACTGTCAGCTTCTCAAAACTCCAGTTAAATGGAGTCAAACTTCATTAATACATGGACCACAGTTACCACTTGTCTCACCGCCAGTATATCTGATTGTGGTAAATAAAATACAGTGAGTACAGAACCATTTAATCCGGACAGGGCCAGTAAGAAGAATCCGGAATTTGTTTCTGTGTGGTGATGTATTTTGAAATTTTCCAAAATCGTTTGTTGGCTTATTTTACTAAATCAGAATTTGTGAGATTCCAGGCTCTCACAGCGAGGAATATAAAGATGGCTGTCTTCTGGGATGTTGCGCCGTGTAGTCTGGTAGATATTGACCCTGATGGAGGCAGAAAGTTTTTTCTGAAACGTCGGTTATTATCTACCAGACTACACGGCGCAACATCTTAAAATTAAATTCTGATCGTTGAAAGTAGGGTATTTATATGCGTAATTAAAAGACGTATTTGCATCTTTAATTAAAATGATAAATATTGTTATAATTTTGGGTTAGCTATATATACCGGTAAGAAATTGACTAGCATGAGACTGGAAACTTCCCATACACTTATGCGTTATGAAGAATAGACATTCATTCAGTTTTGTCCGTTTTATAAAGTGTAATTTTATTTTATTGAACGAGAAGATAGAGATGTGTTGGCGTGTCTCTGACAATGCATCGGAAGGTGGATAAATAAATTGACTGAGCCAGTATAACCAGTGGTGATTGAGGTCGAAACAGGCCATCAAATTGAAGCAACGTTTCGATTACTGGACTACTTTGACGTAAGCCTACAAACAACTTTATTCAAGATGCATACAAGGTGGCTGGTCGTATCATGAGTTGCACCGCGTGAAGCCTAAATGTTCACATGTTATGAATACAGCGCGAAAATCCAAACGACCGCCTGACTATCTGATCCCTTGATTTTGTTTTTCCTTGAAGTTTTGATCAGTCATTGTGGGAAAAAGCTGACACGTTTTTACTTTAATATAAGTTTGTCCATAGGAAACCGTCGCCATTTTGATGTCGTGGCAGATCTTTTGTTATCCATTATGAGTGAACAGAATATAAATACTGAGAAAAGCGGGGGGCTATGTGAACAATGGTGATGGACAGGGTCCGCGCCAAACTTTCATTTTGATTTCGTACGTACTTGGGCCAGTGACTTGGCCTAAATTGCCACTCTCTATCTCTTTATTCCCGTCTGCCTTGGGAACTTCCCCTTGTCTTTCATTCTTTCCTGTGATTCATTCTGTACGTATGTTTTCTCCACGAGTAATAAGTAACCAGTACTGGATATAAGTAAATGGAAACAACCGTCCTAAATCCAAATAAATGTGTGATTTTAATCATGCATGTCTAACTTGTACAAATTGACATAATACGAGATTCATTTTCATACTAAAATTGATGTTATTAAACGCAATTAATTATTAATTATGTTGTCTTAACCTAATTGTTTAAGAGTTTCCTTTCACATTAATGGACGTTTTATAGGATATTTTTTATGCATAACTGAAATGGATTTCAACCATATTTTCTGAATGAAGAGAGAAATTAGTTGATTTTTGCACATTCTAAGAAAAAAATACTGTTAAAGAAAATTGAACCTCAATATCAGTACGTTCGCAAAAGCGTCACTCTCGGTCATACGTTCTGTTGATATTTTATGGCGATGATGAAGATGATGAAAAACCTTTGTAATACGAAAGAACGAAACGTGCCACCTCTTATAACGTTACAAATTTATGTAATTGTGAACGATGAAGGCAAATTGGATTGCACAACGGTGCTGGGACGAACGTTGCATGAAGCACAGGCCGGCCAGATCTCTCAAAGTGTGTCGGCGGAGAAATACGAGTAAAAAAGTCCAACCAGGTTTCTACCGCAGCTACACACGATACAAGTTACTTTCACGCGATGCTCTGTTAGAGCAAAAACGTACCACACCTTAAAACTGCACCAAGGTTTCTGTCTAAGCCGACCATGTTGTTTTCGGCCAGAACCAGTCATGAAACCAGTAATAATTACTCTTATATTTATTATGTTTTACTTATAATTATTGGTTCAAAACCACTGACAAACATTGCCTTACTGGTATGTATGCAAGGCAAAGTTATAGACGTTTTTATTTGGATATGAAGTATTACAGCCTGCATTATTCAACATGGTAACCAAATTTTGTCGTATATAATAACGTATGAAATATCTAAAAAAAACATTATATATATATATATATATATATATATATACATATATATAAATCTTTGTGACATGTAGGCTGTGCATTATTATTAATTGTCGTGTTTCTGAATAATGTCTTATTAAGCATTTGAAAGCTCGTTTTTGTGGTCTAGTTACTCCGTTGATGTTTGTGTGTTTGTCGGCTGTTGAAATCACCATGTTTTACCTCGGTATTGTCACACCAAAGGAAGTATTTCGTAACTTAGCAACACAGGATTCACTGTTTTCTATCATGCCTTTCTCTTTTGATCACTTTGGTGTTTAGAACTAACACTTTCAGTAAAAGTAGTCTATATTCTTGTGGTTCGCGCATGTGAAATAATGATGTCCGAGTAATGAACGTTTCGTGTTAGGTTTGCTTAAGATTCTGGCACTTACCGAAATGCAGGCAGGCCGAAACACACAACAAGCCCAAGGCTACTCTCGTACACAGCGCCATCCTCGCGCCTGGACACTGATTGTTAGTGACGTAGCTCGTGCCTACTCTTGCCTTTTATACGCGGCCTACATCCTCCACGATTCTTGCTGAGATTGTTTTCTTGAGCTGGCTATAGGGGACAACCCCACTCTGTTCTTGATCACCCATTGGCGGAGAAATTCTTCAAGCCGATGACGTCGCTGTATCCATCATGGCCGCGTGCGCACGCGCTGACCTCTCCATTCCAATCCCACTCTATGCCTCAAGAATATTTTGTAGTCGATGTGTACCGTGACATTGAAGAGGTTTTGTAACGGTGAAAAAGAACACTTCTCAATGGTCTTCCTACACCTCTTTCTAAATTCGCATTCGGTATATATTAAACTGACTTGCAAGAGAACAAATTAGAATACTTAAGAGTTTTTGAACAACACCACGAAATCAAAACCGCAAGACTGTTACGTCACTTCACCCTCGAAATACGTGGAATGAAAGTTTCGAAATGTCGAACCGCAATGGAAAGCTTACAGTAAGGTACATATAACAGTAACCAAAGGGGCACGATTTGGTATTCAAATATTCGTTTCAGGAAAATTTTCCACCCATCAATTCTGGATACTGATGACCTAATGCTACTGTCTGTATACCTTCACTAACCAACGCCTCGTTATCGTTTTCCTAGAGATAATCAATTCACTGAGAACAGTTATAAAATTACATAACTTTATCATTACAGCCTAAAAGTATTCCAGGCTTAAAAATAACGCACATGTCACTGAAGCAACCCCACGTATTTTTACTATCGAGCATTTATTAAATTGTTAAACAAATGTTGTCATAAGTAGCTAATTGTTTTCGTTATTACTTTCGGATGAACTTGAATTTCTGTGATGCGTCAACAACTTCTATGTTTGATGATTACTGCTACTTACACACTTTTGATAACGTTCAAATTTATGTCATATCACCAAATGAACCCAGTGTACGGTATTGTGCTTTCTGAACGAACATCACAACGTTCCTTGAAGGGTAGAATTCCCTAGAATTGTGACTTAGTAACTTTGCTTGGTTTCTTATATACCCCAGAGTCTTTCAACGCGATCAAAACAAGTCTTGTTGTTTGGTGGTTACTGTCTACAATTGTTTGGTCCGGTGTGACGAAACAGTGACGTGGTAAACAAGGAAACCGGTACTCGTGTGTGACCGCATCAAATTTCGAAATAATGTGTTCATTTAAGTATTCACGAGAAGATAACATCTGAGAAGACGTGGCAAAAGTTCTTCGTTCAGTGATGAAAGTGTGTTCAGTCTACTTGAAAACATATATTGTGCGAAGAAAATATTACAGGCCTAAATTTTCCCTTGAAAATAAACTGAATTTGGGAGGCTTTATAAATACGTGGTATCGAAATTCAAGGGCAATCAGTTGAATGCGACCTGCGGTCCTTTAAATAAAGTACTTAGGATATTACATTTGAGTTTATATGGATCATACACCTGAAGATGGTTCATTTAGAACCGAAACATGTAGTGTAAAAGATGATGCTCTAATGTAAATCGAACTATTCGATAGAGAGCATCATTTTAATATATTTTAAATATTAAATGTTAATTGTAATAATATTTTAATATTTTAACATTTAATAATAATATTTTATTGTGATTTGGCTGATAAAATTGAGCAAGTAAACATGTTATTGTCAAAATTATTTTAACAAAACTGCTATGACATTAATAAAATCTATTACAAAATTGTTTTCATAACGCTTCAAAGTAAAACATACAATTCAGATCGCTAAAATGGATGTCCATCTTCTCATGAATAATCATATTGGCTTTACACAGGCGGTCAATAAGACAACTGAGGGACTGTGAAATGCTCAGCAAGGACTCCGCTGCATAAATTTCATTGTGATTTGTACATAAAGTAGTAACGCTGGTTGGAATTATTCATGTATTTTGTTTTTCATGTATTTTTCTTTCTATAATAAAAACTCAGAATCACATTTAATAACCTCATTTGGTGGACAGGACTGTTATGCAGCCAGGATGGGCACAATAAGCAGTGCAGTGTCGAAGTGGCTTGTCCTCCTTTAAAGAGCCTCCATGATTGTCGTAATTGGGGATCGCATGCAGTTGCATATGAGCACAGCCCGCGGGTAGTTTAATTAGAGTGACTGACCTCACCGCACCTCGACCGATACGCGAGAGGAATTGTGATGCTGGACCTAAGGTCTCTAATTACCGTGTTTATTTGTTCATGAAGTTATTAATTCCTTTGTTTCTCGCCTGGAACTCGAGACTGCCCTGGACCCGTTCTAAACATGTATAGGTCTTTTTTTATTTTGGGATGGATCATAGGGTATTTATAGACGATATATCAACTGAAAAGTTTGTTTAAGGTCGAGTGATATGAGAGGACGGTTACTTTCTTTGAAACTAAAAGGTTCTGCGGGAAGCGACTGTGGCCTATTTGAGGTAGGACTGACGAATTCTGGGAAATTTCTGTCAGAATAGTTGGTGCCCAGATGGACGATGTAATCGGGTTCCTCCGAATACGAGTCAAACTTCATAACGTATTTCGTGTTAGTTTTAAATTACCTTCATTGTAGTGACACTAGGGAAAATCTTGTTACATCCCAAGATTAAGCAATTGCCTATTCCGGCCTCATTTATAGATCTTCCTTTTTTCCTTCGTGCTATGTTTCTATTACTACTTATTTAATAGTTTATAACCTGTTTGGAATTGTGTGTTCTGATCATTCTTTGAAGATGATCTTCCCATTTCAATCAGTGTATTCGGGACATCCGAAAAGTTAGTATTGATTAAATTGCATTTGAAACGATAATAGGCAGTAATGGGAAGGACTCGTACAAGACCACCGAAAGATCCAGCCAAAATATGTTATTGCTGTGGAGTACAAATTTATATGGACCATCGTATCACACGTATTGACAAGCAGCGCGAATACGTAGAAAAATAAGTCAATTCTATCTGTTTTGCTGTTATGCATTTGTCCATAGGTTTTCGCGGCTTAGAGTTCATTACACAACTTCGACTTTATGAGATGAGCTACGTCGAATACTATAAAAATTATCCAACATTTCGGCAAACACTGCAGTTACTGTCTTCAGGGTGAATCATCTGCAATGTTTGCCGAAACGTTAGATAATTTTCTGTATTCGAAGCTGAAGTTATACAAAACTTATCTTATACTTACATTTTAACACTTCTGAAGAGTACTTCTTTCTGCTAATGATATCACAGCGCTTGATGTGCGATCTTCAAGTTACCGCCTTTCTTGGCATACTTGTTGAGATAAAGTACAGGAGTCCTGCTTCCTCGAACCTTGTCTGTCGAGCAGTTAGTGTGTCGTAATGTTTCCGCTCACATCTGCTTCATTTAATTCCGTCACGTTTCTAGAATGTGTGCTGTATTCTAACCTGATCGCGATATACAAAAATAATCAGCAACATCTGATATAGCCTAATAGCGACATTTTATACATGTATAAAGTGTATAAAGTTAAAGATGGAATGGGAATTACATTGACAAGAGTAATATAGTTTAAAAAAGTAAACTAAAAATTGAATGAAGGACACGCTGCTTTTAAGAATATGTTTGTCCGAATGTTATGCATGGTACGAGTATAATGGTAAAATAATTGCATCTGCAACTTAAAAGAACGTGACATTTTCGTGTCACATGTGTTCTCTTTGTTTACATTTCTACTTGCTCAATGCAATTTATGAATAACGTAGAATCTGACTTACAGGGAAATTCAGAGTCAAATTTAAAACATTATAGTCAGTCAAAAATTAAAAAAAAAAAATAGAAGCGAAAGATCTCTGCGTCATCAATGTGTTTTAAAGACCTGAAGGTAAACTCCACTCGTTTTAAACCTCGTCACTAGTTGGGGGGACAGCGATAATTATTACGCTCCGTTCACTTAAACCCCTCAGCACCCGTGAGTAGGACACACATCTTACCAGCCTACTTCCGTTAGCAATCGAACCCTGGTTTCCTATATATTTTTACTTTTTATCTTTTATAAATTAGCCTACTATGTTGTACACTTCCTAAACATCATTAAGAATAATTCTTTATTATATACAGAATGACACAAAGAGATTTATACACACATTTAACGAATTAAATAAATACATTTTAATAAATTAAACCATTGAATACGTCAACATTGTCACTTCGTAAATTAGCGAATCTAGTGTTAATGTTAAAATTAACCACCCTTAAGTTCGTGACAAGCGGCCACCTACGTTAATATTTTGTGTATTTCTTTTTGGGACAACCTGTACAGAGTTACGTACAAGAATCCTGTCATTAAAATGAACTTAACCTCGTTTTACCGGCAGTGATTTCCTCTGTCGAAGAACGCTTTCAGATCAAGTATTTCGTAATTTTAGTAGTGTTTTATACTCATCATCACAAACAAGAGAGAAACAAAACGGTAATGGTTTCTTTCGTAGTAAATGCAACCATTACAGTTCAGAGGAGCAGATCATGTCTTCTGGCCAAATGAAAGGCGTCGTGTTCTGTTTCACCGGTTAATCGCGATAACGCCGTGATGTGTCAAACTGTGAGGAGCCTTGATCCACGCGGGACTCGGGGTCAGAGTGACTGGTAGCTCTTCTTCCACGGTCGGATCTAGCAGTGTTTCTCAGTCGGGGGTCCGCATGTTGTATCGAAGGGGTCCGCGAATTGACCAGAATATACACGTGTATCTCTCATGATGTAGTACTGTAGAGTTGTCAATAGGTGTGCCAGTTTTTGTCAGTAGTAGTGTAAGTAGTGATGTCATTGGTGGTATCAGTAGCTGTGTCAGTAGAGATGTCAGTTGTGGTAGTGGCAGTGGCAGTGGCAGTAGTGGGAGTAGTGGTGATGGTGGTGGCCGTGGTAGTCACGTTTTGACAAGTTTCGACAGGTCCTTGCTGCCCCCATCATCAGGGCACCCTAATTATGGAGGCAGCAAGGACGTCTGAAAAGTTGGTAATCTTCTACCAGACTACACTGCGTAAATTGCATTTGAAACGATAATAGGCAGTAATGGGAAGGACTCGTACAAGACCACCGAAAGATCCAGCCAAAATATGTTATTGCTGT